CTTAGGACATCAATGTGTCGTCACGAGCCGCAAGGTTTAATTTGGATTTGTCTGTGCATGTTTTTTTTACTCTCATAGATTTTGTTATCATTGCCATGCATTATACGACTGATAGACTGCAACGGTTTGAGTTAAAAATCATCAAACGTGTTCTACTGAAGAAACAAAGTCACCTACATCTTGGATGCCCTGCGGGTAAGCAGATAAACATCACATTTTCATTTTTGGGTGAACTATCCCTTTAAAGACTGACAATCACACACACAAAACATTCTATGGTTGCATTAGATATAAACATGAAATACATTGCACTTTACAATGACGTTGAGCAGAAAACGACTTTTAAAAAAAAAAGCACAAACTGAAAGAAAGGATGGACAAAACACAGAAAAATCCACGATGGGTCCAAACTTTGTCCAAACTCACCTTCAGCGAACACGAAAAGCGATGTATGTAGCTGAACGTTCTTCTCATCCAAACGAAGGCAAGCAATAAACCATAAAGTGCAATTAAGAAAAGTATGTTTATATAGTATCTCACAGAATGAGAGGACTTCATGCCCTCACAAAGATGCATCGTGGTGAAAACATGGTACACTGATGGTATCTGAAAGTAATACTATGGATGTGAATGATTACCATAGTATATGTCCAAAAAAATATGGTATTATCATGGTGCCATGTGCACAATAGTATTTATGTTACTTCTTTGTTAGTCTAACATGATTACACATGATTAAGGTCGCTTAACTTGCATAATAATTTACCAATAAGGCTAATGTGACTGAAAATAATTCACTATTATGAGTATCAGTATTATCATCACCTGATAGTTTCTAGTGACCATGTTAACAATCTGAGCAGTTCTGAATGTGCAATTATGAGACAAAGGTGTTTTTTTAAGCCGAACCACTAATTTTGTTGATTCAGAAACGAAACAGGCGTTATCTAGAGATCATAAAATCAATAAATCTGTGGTTTACCACAAGATCATGCGATTAAACATGAGAATGCGCCATTGTTTATGATAATCTGGACTTCCTGCACGTGCAGGCGTCAGGCCCATCAAACAACACACTGGGTATTTACACAAATTAAACGCATTTTCATTATGACAGTGACTCTAACAAAAGCACGAGCTTTCTGTCATGTTGCGAACACGTGTTGCTTATTCTTATATTAATAAATAAACATATGAAAGACGTCTAACCGGCGTTTGAGCACGATAAACACCCCGTACATTTACAGCAAAGTACTATTTATTCATCTAAACCCAGAAAAGCCATAAATGAGCATGCAAACCACCTCCTTTCCCCTCACAAATACTCACTTTAAGCGCTTTAGCTGGCGTTGGATGAATCGCTGCTGCTCGTCTCGCGCTCGTGGAACAGAAGGAGCTAGCGAGAGCCGCGCGAACCATTCCCGCTCAAGGGCGGGGGACATCACTGCCGCAAAACCGCGACAAAACCACCAAACATCACCCTGAGGCGGCTTAAGTGTATTTACGTCAGTTTCGTATTTGTATACATATACATACACGCACAACCGTGCTACAGAAGTGTGCTTTAAGTGATATTTTGTCATCACATTTTTTTCCCACATGGTACATTCCGTCAGTTTCCCAGCTCTACTGCGTGTATGACGTCATCAAAAACCGAGTGTATATCGAGACGTTACTGTTTTTAATCAAAATTATTTTTTTTATATCCATATATACAAAATTTTATTCAGCATACTTAGATATTATGTTTTATATACGCACATACACATTATATAATAAAAATAAACTTTTTTTTTTTTTTATTCTTTTGTCAGGTTTGTTTTTTCTTTAAATTCTTTGGAAGATAGACATATCTTATTCCATGATAAATTCCTCAAATGCAAACTTTATATCCTTCATACAGCCTTTATTTTTTTATTTTAGTACGGTTCAAATCAGAATCTTGAGAAACGCTGTATTGAAACAGTGCACTTACTGTATTGTTGTGAAACAATGATTTTGTAGTTCTTAATTTTTGTTTCTTAAAAATGTTTTTATTACTTGCAGTACGCACAGCGCCATTAAATGAGGCTTTAAAAAATTATAAGCAAAAGTCAGAGCACACAACACCAAGTGGATTTCTTAGAGATTCATTTATTATACATTTAATAGGATTTTTTTCACATTCTTTAAATCTGAGTGGACAAAATAAACACATTTCATGTGCAGAAAATAAAGTGAATGCATCTAGCACATTCTTACTGTATGTATATTGTTCCCTTAGAACACACAAGAAATTCTCCATTCATTTGTACTTTAAGAGCACCTTTCAATCCGTTATCACGGCCACTGTAATCAACATTGAGAATCACCGACTACTGGATATGCTTGGAGAATAAAGTAAGACTTTAAGGTGTTACGTTAATTGTCCCTCAGGTATCATAATGTCTCTAAATGACTCCCACTCTACTTCTTTCCGAGTTCTCTGGCTCTTTCGGTCGCCGCCTCTACGGCTCCCATCGTAGCCGCTCTGAATCCTCCCTTCTCCAGCGCGTGGATCCCGTGAATCGTGGTCCCTCCCGGCGTGCAAACCTCGGCCTTCAGCTCCGCCGGGAACTTCCCGGAATCACGCAGTAACACGCCAGCGCCCTGAAACACACCAGATTTAAGCATATTCGGTCAACGGCAAGCATTGGTATTCAACCCAGCCACCACAAAAGTTTGGTAAAAAGTGATAAAAACAAACATTATTTCTTTATGCCCTCTTTAATTTATGGGAAATGTACGGTGGCCGAGAGAGCTCAACGCGCTGCAAATGAAAAAAACACATGCAAATTAAGAAAACAAATGCTCACAACACAAACAAATAAAGAAACGTGCTGCAAATAGGCACAGACCACATCGGAAACGTTTACGGGAACCGCAAAGTGACGAACATGGCAGGGACATTTATCAATGTTTGCTCTGAAAGGTGAGATTTTTGTTTATTTTAACATCCTGATCATACGATTTCTTTGCTTCTTCTTTTTTTAAATTATTAGCCTAAATAAGCTGACAAAATACACAATTACTGTTAAAACAAAAAATGGTCACTATAGTTAAACCATGGTAACAACAAATTAACCATGGATTTACTACACTAACCACAGTTTAACCATGGTATTTGTACAACTGTGGTTATACAAATGGTAATCAATACAACAACAAAAAAAAGATGGTAAATTTTCGTTTTGTTGGGGTCCTCCCGTTGTGCTTTGTACTTGTACTTTTCTTAATATGCTAGTGCTTCTTCTATTTGCATGTGTTTTCTGAAATTGCAGCGCGTTGAGCTCTCGGCCACCGTAGAAATCTAAGTTTATTAATAACTACAAACCAATATTTGGAATGAAACTAGCTAGTTCTTAATAGTGACCGCTTCATTTTATGGCAATGTGACACATTGTTAAAATTCTATTAATCTTTATTAGAACCAAATAACAAAAACACAAAAATCTGGGTTTTAAACTGTAGAAATGGTAACGATCACTTGGTTGCACAAAATCGCACACTTCATAAAAAACAAACTCATCATGACATTGAGTTCATGTGACACGCCAAGCTTGACAATCACTATTTGATCAATTTGCACAAAAAAAAACACGTAACAATTTTGGTTGCAAAAAAATTGCACAAGAAATCAATAAAAACTGTAGACATGGTAACAAAACATTTGCTTGCAAAAATGGATATAAAAACTATATAAACCTCACATAAAATAAAATCTCACCATGATGTATTTTGTTTGACATGCTACGGCTGACAATCAATATTTGATCAATTTGCAAAAAACTGCAAAACAAATATGGTTTTAAACTGCCGACATGCATTGTAACAAACCTTTTGGTTGCAAAAAAACTAAATAATGGGAGTTTTAAGCTGTAGACGTGCAACAAAAAAAAGTTGCAAAAATCTCATCATTAAATATTTCAGTTGACACGCTAAGGTGACGATCAGCGTTTTCTGAAGGTTAAGCACCTCCACTAAGATTAAAGCGTAATTTCTCATGTCTTCTTGATGTTTGCGAAGCGGTTCGTGAGCAAACACTTACCAGTATTGTCTGTGCTGCGATACGTCGAGCCAGAGCGCTGGGCATCCCCATTTTAACAGCTCCGTCCGCCAGTGCCTCCGCAAACACATACACCTATATGAGACCGCACATGAAAAAATACTACAGTGTTTTTGAACCATACTATAGTAAAGTATGTGAATTAATTTGGTGTGTTAATTCTATTGTTGCTGTGGTAATATAACAACTATAGTAATATAACCAAATGACTTTACCCAATACTGTACTGTGTTTTCTACAACTATAGGGTATATTATACTACAATACACTACAGTTTACTGTAGTAAAACCTAAAGTATACTACAGTATTTATTACAGTTTATCAGTTCACTATAGTTTATACTAGAGTATAGTATACTGTAGCATTCATTAACAAAGTGTTGTGAATACTATATTATATACAGTATAACACACTTTACTATAGTATGGTTCAAAAACACTATAGTATTTACTATCAATTGCTATAGTATTTTTTCATGACATTACCACTCGAACCTGTTCATCTAGACTATGAGCTGCTCTCAGTCCCTGACTTTCCTCACACACACACACACACACGTATATATACATATATGTGTAGTTTCGGACTAACTTTTTTGAAAATTTATAATTTTTTATAAAAAACTATGTGTAAAGTATTTAATATTTTATTTAATAACATTTTTAGAAACTGTTGCCTTGTTCAAATACCCACACTTGCGGTCTTGGCCACTTGAGAGCGCGTGCGCGCGACAGAAAGTAACTGCGCAAGACTGTCCCAGGTCTTAAAAACACCAAAGCGCAGTGCCCTTAACGGACACTAAATCCACATTAAGGAGCACTATTCGAGGCTTAGTGTATCCCATCATGCATCATGTTCTGGAAATAAATCGTAAGACTTTTTGCCGAGATCTCACGAGAGGTCACGGAAACCTTTCCAATTCAAGTTAAATATTAATATAATAATTAGATATTACACTAAATTTGGTAGAAAAACAAAGTGATGCACGTTTTATTGGTGCAAAGAAGAGTAGTGGTGATATTTATTTTGTACAACATTTGCAACTGCTTTTCAGAACTTATTCAATTGTGTCATGTTACAGGGACTACTGAACAGACATTTAGAAGTTGATTTTAGAATGCAAAGTACTTAAAATTAAAATAAAGCTATGTAAACGCTTGCATTTTACAACACTAAGTGTGTGTCCCATCAGGTAATGAAAAGTTCGACACACACTTGTGGTCTTCATCCTCACTTGAGCCAAATACAGGAAATACGTCATATAAGTAGTCAAGCGGTCAAGTGCAAAGACCGCAAGTGTGGGTATTTGGACAAGGCATGTCACTCACGAATGCGACGCCGCTGCCACTCAAGCCCACGTGGGCGTCGATCCAGGGTTCAGGCCCCGCCTCCACCAATCCGCACGGGCCAAGCAGGGCCTTCAGGAGAGTCTCCTCCTCCTGTCCCGCACACGAGCCGCAGGTGAGGAGCAGCGCCCCTTCCAGGAGCATGCAGGGAAGATTCGGCATTATACGAATCACACGCGTCCCAGCAGGCAACAGCTATGAAAACAGACAGTAATGGAATCTGATGTTTGACATAAAAAAAACAAAACAGAAAAATATATATTTTTAAAGAAATATATATATACACTCACCGGCCACTTTATTAGGTACACCTGTTCAATTGCTTGATAACACAAATTGCTAATCAGCCAATCACATGGCAGCAACTCAATGCATTTAGGCATCTAGATGTGGTGAAGACGACTTGCTGAAGTTCAAACTGAGCATCAGAATGGGGAAGAAAGGGGATTTAAGTGACTTTGAATGTGGAATGGTTGTTGTTGCCAGACGGGTTGGTCTGAGTATTTAAAAAACTGCCGATCTACTGGGATTTTCACGCACAACCATCTCTAGGGTTTACAGAGAATGGTCCAATGTCTATCCCTTTGTGACTACAGTGTACCCATCTTCTGATGGCTACTTCCAGCAGGATAATGCACCATGTCACAAAGCTCAAATCATCTCAGACTGGTTTCTTGAACATGACAATGAGTTCACTTTACTCACAGACCCTCCACAGTCACCAGATCTCAATCCAATAGAGCACCTTTGGGATGTGCTGGAACGGGAGATTCGCATCATGGATGTGCAGCCAACAAATCTGCAGCAACTGCGTGATGCTGTCATGTCAATATGGACTAAAATCTCTGAGGAATGTTTCCAACACCTTGTTGAATCTATGCCACGAAGAATTAAGGCAGTTCTGAAGGCAAAAGGAGGTCCAACCCAGTACTAGTAAGGTGTACCTAATAAAGTGGCCAGTGAGTGTATATTGGGCTTTTATGCCTTTAATGGATAGGACAGTAGAGAGCTGACAGGAAAGCATTCCGACCTTGAGACGGGAATCGAACTCGAACAGTTGCCTATATGTCGACGCACTAACCACGAGGCTATCGGTGCCCGAAAAAAATTCTGCCATAATTTTGATCATTAAGATATAGTTTTGGAGCATGTATCCAGCAAACACAACGTTCCCCTAACATATTATGGTAAATTTTTTAGGGGGGAATCAAATAATAACATTCCAGAAACCTTCTTTTAAGGTTTTATTTTTTTTAAATAACGTTCTCAGAATGCTGCAGGGTGATTATTTTTAAAATAACCTAAAAATAACATACCAAAATGGTTATATAACCAACTAACCTGCAGATATAACAAAGTTGCAGATGTTTTATGTAATGCCCTTTAAACTCTGAACGTAGTTTAATACAGCGTTTAATCAAATCTAGAAATTAGATCAAAACGCGTTATAATGATCAGATATATCAAACTTTATGGCTAAAATACACGCGCTTTCTCTTGTTTTACTGGCTGACCGACTAATCGATCTCTTTATTAAATAATTGCTTATAATTAATATAGATCTGAGAGCAAATATGATTTCGGAGAGGTCGCGTCCATGTTGAAGAGCACATGATGCTAATCGAGAAGTTTTTGTTTACCGACCGAAACTATTAGAGGCAAGAAATAAATGCACTGAGAAATACTTTACTTTAAGCCAAATAATGATTTATTATTTATTTTTTATATCTATGAATAAATTTCACATTTGAAAAACCAGTCATTGTTATTTAATGCTGAAGAAATGTAAACTCTGGGCACCCCGTAAATTAATGAAAAAATGTAATCTTATTTAGGCGAATCTTCCATATGATGTGTTCATCATTATATATTAATTAAACAATAAATAAAAACAAAACAGGGTTGTTACAAGTCTATATAATACAGTTTTATGATAATTGTTTATGATAAAAGTACGAATATCTAAGAAACGAGATGAACTACCGTTAACTATAAAGGATAGGGGAACATTAGAATAATATTCCACAAACTAAACAACAACAACAACAAAAACCTTCGGTTACACTTTACTTGAAGGGGTGTGCATTTGCTCAGTTATGTAATTTTTAATGCAAAGATGACATTGTTTGAGATGTCTTTGTTATGGGCTATGGTTAGGGGTAAGGGTAGGGGTAGGGTTAGGTTAAATAATGTCATATTTGCATTAAAAATTACATAACTGAGCGAATGACACTTAATGACAGTTGTCATAAACATGCATAAAACCTCCTTCATATTCATGACATGTGTCATGTCATGATTATGTAGGTGTCATGTCAGTCTTATGCACACCCCTTCAAGTAAAGTGTTACCAAACCTTCAAACCTTTTTGCAAAAGCAAACTTTCTGGGAATGTTCTGGGAAATCAGAAATTGTTAGCTGGGCAAATCCTCACCTCCTCAAGTGTTTCTAGAGTGATTCCGGCTGCCATGGAAACGATGATGTGTTCCTGAGTGACATTCCCGGAGATTCCATTCAGCACCTTCGGGACGAGGTGAGGTTTGACGGCCAGGAAGACCAACCGAGAGCGATCGACAACCTCGTCATTCGAGTGAGTGACAGAAACTCCTCTCTCCTGTCAGAACATTCACATTCACACAAACCTGTCACAGAAATGACGAGTTAAGCTGTTCGCCATCATCTACTCCAGATCTCACGCTGGGAATAAAGGAGAAACACCATCAATACAAATGCATTACATTACTAGCTTCTTAAAAGAATTCAGGTGTGGATAATAAAATAACACATAATTTTTCAAATACTGTACATTATTGTAGGTCCTCTATGCCCCGCCTCTCTCAAACGCTTCGTTTACTATAATCACGAGTGTCAGCTTTCAAAATAAATATCAAGACAGTTAATAATGTCGTTAGTTTTACCATCAGTTCAAGCCCGAAAGAGCAACAGAGTCGCGTGACAGACACAGTGATGATGCAGTACACAAGCCCGGTTAAGACAGCTGACGTGCTATGATTTCTGACAGACAGTTCACTCTCCTGTGATGTGACCCTGTTCCCCTCTCACACACACACACACACACACACACACACACGAATGCGCCCGCGCACGCATCGACCAGAGCAAGAGCGAGATCACGCCCATCAACGCACTTCATCCGGCGGCAGCGCTGCACGGGACTTGCTCAGGAAGAATGTCTCCAAAGAAGTGTGTTTTTGGTTGTAAGGGAAATATAACATTGTTCAGCTTCCTAAAGAACCCAGCGTTATGTAGACAGTGGATACAGTTTGTTTTTCCGGAGCAGCAACGCAGTTTCACAAGTGTGTTTGTTGACGAACATATTTAAAACAAGGCCCAGTTCAACGCTGGATTTGCACATCGTTTGATACTGAAAGATGGAGCGGTCCCAGCTGTAAAAGATCCCGGTCATGATTCAGAACTGCAGACGGTAAGTGAAACGGCATCAAATGTCTGTTTTGTTGCCAGTCGGAGCTCAAGTGCTCGTCACTCTTTAGCTCCGCCCACGGCGCGCCTCCAGAAGCTCGGCTTTTTCCGGAGAGAATCGTAAAGCTGTATCTTTCTTTTCTAAATATGATAAAACTAAAGACTTTTTGGAGATATGAAGGATGCAGTACTACTCTATAGGTACTCAAGATTAACATGAGATTGGGCGAAACTGTGTGTGTTATGCCCCCTTTAATTATTTTATCATAATTTTTAATTTAACACAATTTTTGAATTGTTATTTTATCTTAATATTATGTTCATTTATTGTAAAATAATGTGCCTTTTTAAGTATCCTAAAAATGTAATGAAATTAGGCACTAAATATTTTTTACTTTATATTATAATTTTATTTTAAATTATAATAACGTTTATATAACAATACAACAACAACAATAATAATCAATTACTATAATAATATTTGCATATTATATCTTGACTTTTTATGGAACTGCATAGTTCAATTCTTAATAAAGTCACAAGTCATACCTGAAAGCGAGGAAGGTTGTTCATGGATGGAGCGCTAATAATTATATTACTGGGTGGAACCTTCCCTATAACACAAAAACAGTACAACATGTCAGTAAAAAGCACAGAAACTAATTTTATTATTACTGTAATTTTCATGCCTCAATTTGTTTTAATAAAGTTAACTCTTCAAGATCAACTAACACTGCTTTTAGTGCCTGCATATTTTGTTTGTTTTGTTAATTTATGTTATGTAAGTTTTTTTCTGTAATACAGTAGTTTATGTAACAAAAACACACGGCTATAGATATACAGTATATTAGTTAAAGCTGCAGTCCGTAAGTTTTGCCTCTTTGTCGCCATCTCTGTTTGAAAACCTGCAATTGCAGCTGTGTGTGGAATTATCTAGCTTTGCGTGGGTTGTGAGTCGGCGCGGCTCCAGCGCGGATGAATCTAATGTTCTGAAGAGTATGTGGCAGTCAGGTGTGGATATTCACTGTACTTCGCAATCACAGATTCTAGCCTAAGTCTTGGAATATATGACCCAAATAAGAATTTTCCCCCGTATATTGCCATCTGAACAAGTAACAAGTCTGCCACGTTTGTTCTGACCAACTGAGGAAAAAAGCATTACCATAAATCTCGCTACCAGTGGTGATTAAATCTAAAGATCGGTTAGCTCATATCACATCAAACCGTGCAAATTATTATTATTGTTATACTTTATTCTCAAATGATTAATGTTAACAACATCAGCATTGGTGACTATGAGTATAGTGTGTATTAGCGTGCAGATTTCCATTTCTGCACAGTCTAATCTAATTTTCATTCTCTTCGAATTTCATATTAAGAAATTATTTTAACCCAAAAAGCAAATTATGCTCCCTTCCAACTGGTTTTCCTTAAAATACAAATCTTGTGTAATCCCAGGCTATCTATAATCAGAAGCACATTTATAACTGGAATATAATTTAGTTTCATAAACACATAATCCTTTCTGGATTACAATCTGCAATCAAAATGATATTTAATTATTCCGGGTGTTGTGAGAAAAGGCTATAAACGATCGGCCGCCTGCAGGATCCTCACATGCGATAGCCTAGTAGCCGGGACAACTTCTGTATGTTTACAGACGTGACGTAATGACGCAGCGCCATGCTCGAATTTCCCGCGAAAACCTACCCGTACCACTCAACTTAGAAAACATTATTATAAGCTAAGCGTTGTGAATCGGGCTAAAAGTAAGGAGATAGTTTTGAACACTGGCTGGTTATGTACTTGCTCAAATACTGATTTCGGATCATTTTTAACCAAAAAAAGTTACGCACTGCAATGACGCAGCGCCATGCTCGAATTTCCCGCGAAAACCTACCCGTACCACTCAACTTAGAAAACATTATTATAAGCTAAGCGTTGTGAATCGGGCTAAAAGTAAGGAGATAGTTTTGAACACTGGCTGGTTATGTACTTGCTCAAATGTTGATTTCGGATCATTTTTAACCAAAAAAAGTTACGCACTGCAGCTTTAAACTACCATTAGGTGATATTCATCGGTGCAGCTGACAGGTTCTTGAAGGCTGGCAGAATTCACTCTGACGTCATGCACATGTAAAGTGAAGTCATGCACATGTAAAGTGACGTCATATGTAAAGTGACGTCATGCACATGTAAAGTGACGTCATATGTAAAGTGACGTCATGCACATGTAAAGTGACGTCATGCACATGTAAAGTGACGTCATGCACATGTAAAGTGACGTCATATGTAAAGTGACGTCAGTCATGCACATGTAAAGTGACGTCATGCACATGTAAAGTGACGTCATGCACATGTAAAGTGACGTCATGCACATGTAAAGTGACGTCATGCACATGTAAAGTGACGTCATGCACATGTAAAGTGACGTCATATGTAAAGTGACGTCATGCACATGTAAAGTGACGTTATATATATGCATGTATGTGTTTGTTTGTATGTATGTATGTATGTATGTATGTATGTGTGTATATATATGTGTATATGTGTGTATGTATATGTATATGTATTATATATATATATGTATATATATGTGTGTATATATATATATACACACCTTGCTACGTGTACTGCGTTAGGCTAACCAAGACTTGTCATTTGCACTTATATATTGTTGCTCTTTTGTTAGTTTTGACTGCTTTTATTGTCCTCATTTGTACGTCGCTTTGGATAAAAGCGTCTACTAAATGACTAAATAAATTTAGAAAAAAATCAAAAAATTATTAAATAAAAAAAAAAATCTTGTTGTTGAAAGTGTTCGATCAGTCAGGCTTTTGTTGTTCAAACTCCCCACAGCCAATCAGATGAAAAGATCTTCATTTACGGGCGGAGTCATGATTGGCTGCAAACCAATCACACGTCTCCTGGACGGCTGAAAAAAAAAAACATCTATTAAGATTCTTCTTTTTAGTAATATTGGAAAAACATAAATGCTCAATGTCTTGTGCTGATCACCTTGTTTGAATGGCGTGAACTTGAAGTCTGGCAGGTATTTGCGTAGTTTGGCATTATTGGCGGTTTTCTTGATCTGACCGTCTGATTTGCTAGTGTCATACTGAGAGAGCTTAGTTAAGGTTCATCTGTAAGTCTGTGTGAACGAATGCTTTAGGTTTAGTTCATTCGTGGACTACTTTTATATTGCTTTTTGAAGCTTAAGAACAATCTGGAAATTCTACAGAATATCTCATCTTGTGTTGCACAGAAGGAAGACTTGTATCAACTGTAAAAATATCTGCAGACACTGTTTGTGTGTGAAAGGATACAATAACGTCCCCTTCGAACCCGAACTCTTCGGCCACAGCGTCCACAGCATCCTTTACAGTCAACTCATCCTCCTCCCCGACTAGACAAAGAAACGAAGAAAAAGAGGAACATGATCTTGATATCTGAACAACCAATGAGCTCTGATGAAACAGACCCAACACGTGTGATATCAAACACAGCTGGAGTACCTGACAGAATGATGGGCTCCACCTCGTCGTACTCCCTCAGAACCCACAGAAACAGACGAGACAGATCCAGAGAATAGATGAACTGCCGCAGAGCGCGACCCGAACCCCAGACCTGCAGAGGTTTACCTTCCTCTGCAACACAAACACGCAACATTTACCCTGTGAGCATGTGAGACGCTCTGAATGTGATTGTGAGTTAAACGTGTCTCACTCTTCGCCAGGTACGTCTTGTGGATCAACCCCGGCATCACGTGACCGTCCTCAATGTTGTAGTTGTCATGGGGTCCAAACATGTTGGTGGGGATGACGGCTGTGTATTTCAAACCATACTGCTGAAATAATGCCCTAATGGACAAACACACACACTTTATGAACAAACCTCATGAAATAACATGACATACTGAAACCCTATCGTAAACCAAATCAATTGTATTCTGAGTCTCACACCAAGAACTAAATTTATTTGAATTATAGGCAACTCAAGCCTGTCTTTAGGGCCATTACGTTTTCTACTCCAGTTCGTTGAAACATAATCATTTAATCTGTGGCTGTCATAAAACCTGGTTCATGACAGATTTATTCAAAAATAATTAAGGCATAACTAAGAAATTAAGTAAAATATAACGAATGCATAATATGTGTGCATTTAGCAATGAGTTCCTTTCTTCATTTCTCTAAAGAACTATAGATCTATGGACACTGAATTTTCTGAGGTAAAAGTAGCATTACCTGACATCCCAGCTAACACGCGTTAGTTGAATTGCATACTATATTGAATCAAAAGGTTTGTAATTTCATTCCATTATCATCAAATTCAACGTTCTTTTAATTTGCAAATTTCGTTGCTCACACTCATGCGCAGTGTTACTGATAAACATGAAATAATTTTAGTTCTGCTGCTTTTATATCACGCCACATGACCATTTTCTCACACAGACAAAGCACCCTCAGTTCCCTCAAAACTGTAATAATAGGATATTGGCCAAACAAATTTGATAAAGGCTCCAGTGTGTATTTGTGTTTGCGCTATGGAAAGCATCAACAGTTTCTATTTACAACGTGTTTTTGTAGCATTGAGCAATGTAGCCAGTCACAATCATATCTGTTGATTTCTTAAAACACCAATGACTGGCCATTGTGTTCAAGTTAGTCAGAATTCACTGACCTCTAAACGCCGGATTTTTTCCTGCAGGCTCGCAAATCCTCACATTGTAACTAAGTGTAATGATGTAAATAAGAGCCTCGTTAATTATTACGGAAAATTGTGAGATTGCGATAAAGTGAAGGTAGTGACAGTTTTTAGTGATTATATGGAAGCACTGTTTGCTTGCTTTCTAGGCTACATACAGTAATCCATTCAGAATTAGAATAAGTTTTGTTAAATTTAAATTAAATTTTCGTGCTGCTAACAGGACCAACGGCCACATACATACCCTGTACATGCAGCAAAGTATCAGGAGTGACATATATCCCCAACCAAAACCCCTACTGATCCCGCCGTGGAAATTCTCACTCCAAGTTGAACTCAAAGCCCTGTTTTATCTGCCATTTTGTTTTTCTCCCTGTTTCTCATCAGTTATATCAAAAATGTTTAACAGCTGCATCAGATTGGTTAGGTAGCATTACCCACAGCGTACTAAGTTCATATTTATGCCTCTGTGTGATTATTTAGTATATTTTCTTAATCATCCGAAATGTCTGCTATCAAGCATTCTAGCATATTGTTCACAAGCTGTTTTACGTCTTTCCTCAGTTGTAATTGATTGAGTGATTACATGAGACAGGACACATTTCAGTAAGTTGTACTCTGTTTTTCAACATACCTTCTGATGTTTATTCATGTTTATTTCATTCTGTAAATAGTAAAGAGAAAGATGATGGGTTCACGTGCCGCTTGAACTGAGGCACCAACAGCGATCTGTCATTCTGATATTTATTGTAAAAAAAAATTTATTTCACAAAATTAACAAGGCACAAAACTTACTGTGAATGTTTAGTTAATTTTTATCCACTCATCGGCTAAAAACAGCATGGATTAAAAGTTTGTTTTTGGGAAGAAATAACAAGGAGGAATGGCATAGCTATATTAACTCTTGACTAGGTAAGACAGCATCTTCATCCCCAAAAACAAAAAGTTATGGTATGATTCTTGGGCTGTACACTTTAAATTAAAATAATACGTTAGCATAGCGGTTTGCAATATCAAGCAGCATAACCTAACCTTTTTCCTTGTACAGCTAAAATAACTAAAAGCGGACAATACCTGAAGCTTTGCATATTCCA